GCCCCGGCCGCCGCTTCCTTCGACTACCTGGTGATCGGCGGCGGCTCGGGAGGGCTGGCCAGCGCACGGCGGGCTGCGGAGCTCGGCGCCAGGGCCGCGGTGGTGGAGGGTCACAAGCTGGGTGGCACTTGCGTGAGTATCGGGGCCCTCGGGCCGCGTCGGCAGCGCGCTTGCTCCCCGACCTCTGCGCGACAGTCCCGGGCGCTTCCTTACTCGGAGGCCCGGAGTCCCGGGAGATGGCGGGAAAGAGGAAAAAAGAGGCCGCCACGCAACACAGGTGCAATGCTAAGGAAAGCCAAGCATTTAAGCCCAGCTTAGCTGCCCGGCATGCATCTCCATACGGGGGAGTGTTGCATCCGGCACTGGAGCCAGGGAAACACGAAACTGCCTCTGGGAAACTGCTAGTGGCGTGGGCGAGTGGGGAAGACGAGGGCTCAGACGTTGAGGAATGGGGACCTGATCGCGTCTGTATTTCAAGGGCAGAGTGATGGGTAGGTAGCAGGAGTGTTCTGCTTTGGCTACGCATGGGAATCCCCTGGAGAGTTGAAGTTCTGCCTCGCTTGTTCCCGCGCATCCAAGGCTCCCATCTGTGGCTAGAAGTGCCGCGTGGGTGTTAGCAAGCTCAGAAGCTCGCAGTTGATCTGAACTGCAGCCAATGCTGAAGACGACAGGCTACCTTAAGAGAAATCTTAAAGAGTTTGTCAGCTTCGTGATATTGTTTGTTTTGCATTGTTTGGGGACAAGTTTTTAAATTGCATACACGCAGAAGGAGAGGGGTAGATGGAAAAACTTCATCTTTTTTAAAGTCTCAAACCCACATTAGTGTGGCTCTTTCCTATCACAAGATCAAGGCAGAGTTCTTGTTGGTGACAGAAAATGCTGACCCAGGAGTCACCTGAGACACGGGTTCTCTCAATGCCTTTTGAAGAGTGACGTTTAAATTATACCATGTTGGGAACTCCTTAGGGGCAGGGATGGGTTCCTTTATTTGTATACTACTTGTTACCTTAAAATACCTTGCTCAGTAGCTGTTTGTGAAATGAATGAAGCTAGAGATGGTGGCTAGAAGCAGGCTCAAGCCACTGCTGAAAATGAAGATGGGGGTGGGGGTGTTAAAAGAAAGATAAAGTCTTGATTGACTGTTAATGATTGACCTGCACGTTGACTCTAGAAATCTGTGCAGAGGGCAGACCGAAGGATGCTGCCCAGAGCCCGCCCTTTGCCCTCTACAAATGGTAGAAGTTCTGTCGTTTGTCACCTCTGCACTCTCGGCTTTTGTTTTCCAACTTCTTCATGTCACCTTGGATTTGGGACGTCCACTGTCATTGCTGGTTCTGCTGGCATTGGTAAAAAAGGGACCGGTGGGTTTAGGCTCCCGTTAAGAAGGTGGAAACAGAGATAAACTGGTTCCACAACAAGCAGAGGACCACTCAGAATGACAGTGTTTGCCGCCTGCGGAACACCTAGCCTTGCCTGGTTCATCCTTGTGCAGCAGCTCCCGTTTCACATCCAAGCACTGGTGTCCCTGGGACATCCGTGTCCGGTGCGTTCTAGTGGCATAACTTTGGGGATCTCCCCAAAGAAGCTTTTGGCTTGGAATTACAAAGCTAGGTAGGGCTGCAGCCAGTATCAGAGAAAATATAACCAAAGGGTAGACCCGATAACATGCGTTCATTGGAGCTTATTTTCTGAATTTAGGTGAGCAAACAAACAAAAACCAAACGTAGTTATAAGGTGTTGGATTAGATAAAAAAAAAAAAAAAACAAACAGCTGGGGGGCTGGGGCTGGGAGAGAACCAAAAGAAGTATCTTTTCCCCCCAGAATCTTTCTCCCTAGAATAATTGAAGATAATCCCTTACTGCCCAGTGCACTGAAGTTATTCCTGAAGAAACAAATTAGAGATGATCTTTGAATTCAGTTTCAAAGTCTCTGAGAAGCGCAAACCAGGGCTTCTCCTGCTCAGGACTCCACACCAGCAGAGCAGTAGAGGGAAGCACCCCAAGGTGGGGTAGTTCTCTCCCTACGCAGACCTTGAGGGGGGGAAACGCCATGAACTCAATCTCCGGTGCTTGCTGAGTGTGCTGGCCCTGGGATTAGGAGGAACCCAGTTCTTGTGGGGTTCTCTATTTTCTACATCTTGCCAGGAAGCATGTGGTAAGGGCTGACTGCCTGGCAAAGTTACGGTGAGCTGGGCTGCACGGTGCTGCCCAAGAAACCCGCAGGGCAGGCCAGGGAAAGGACTGCCCAGTAGATTGTGGCTCATGTAGTCAGCAGACAATGATTTAGCAACAAGCAGCCTGGCTTATTGTCGACAGCATGCACTTTATACTCAATGTAGCTCTCTAACCAGCCTGGTGGAAGGAAAATTCGTTTCCTTTTTTTAAAATAAAGATTTATTTATTTATTATATATACAGAGTTCTGTCTGCATGCATGCCTGCAGACCAGAAGAGGAAGCCAGAGCTCATTACAGATGGTTGTAAGCCACCATGTGGTTGCTGGGAATTGAACTGAGGACCTCTAGAAGAACAGCCAGTGCCCTTATCGCCTGAACCATCTCTTCAGCCCAATTCATTTCCTTTTGATTCCAATAGGTTCCCGTTAAAAATAGAAACTAGCCCTCATTGGCTTTGTGAATTTAGAACTTCATAAAATGAAGCCCCTCCTCTCTTTTTTGTTTGTTTGTTTTTGTATTTTGGGACAGGGTTTCTCTGTGTAACAGTCCTAGCTGTCCTGGAACTAGCTCTTGTACACGAGGCTGGCCTCGAACTCACAGAGATCCACCTGCCTCTGCCCCTCAAGTGCTGGGATTAAAGATGTGCACCACCATCGCCTGGCTCTCCTCCTCCTCTCTTAAGTGTTAAATATAGAAGTGGTTGTAAATTGGGAAGCTGGTTGGAGTTGGTAATAAGTATTATTTTTCACTTTGGCCATTTGCCGTGTTGATTGGCTGTCTTACAGTGATAATTGCTATATTTTTATTTATAAAAAGAATGTTTTTGAAGAGCAAACAAGCAGTTTGTTCAGAAGTAAACAAACAAACAAAAAAACCCCAGCTCTCTGTAGCTAGAAGGGGCCTCAAAAATGAGCTGCCTGTTTTGTTTTGTTTTTTACACTTTAAATACTATCTTTTTCTTTTTAAATGTGTGGGTGGAGGTACCTACAGTGGTCAGAGGTGTCAGATACCCCCAGGAACCACAAAATTACAGGTGATTGTGAGTCACCTGACCTGTGAGCTGGGAATCAAACTGGGTCCTCTGGAAGAGCAGTATGTGCTCTTAGCTGCGAAGCCATCTCTCCGGCCATACCTTTGCATTAAAATTTTCTTCTTTGAGACAGAATCCCATGTCACCTCAGCTTGCCTCCAGCTCACCGCGTAGCCGCTACTGGCATTTATCTCCTGAGGCTCCTACTGCCACCTTCTATTTGCTAATACTGGAGGTGCCCCAGGTGCCGGTGTCTGGTGGCCGAGTGTGGCTGGGGGCATAGAGCTTTTGTTCTCCAGGGGTGCCAAAATAGGACAAGCGCTATTTCAGGTCTGTGGCCCGCTTTCCCGTCTCCAGGCTCTACAGTGTGCACAGGGACACTGCAGTGCGGATTCTCTGGCCCAAGAAGGCTGGTGTCTTCTGTCATCCTCCCCGTCTAGTTTCTTGGTTGGTTGCATGAGCACCTTAAATAAGTTTAGAGTGTGGGAGCCCCCACAAGCTCTGGGATGAGATCCACATGGGGCGTTAGCTTGCACAGTGGATGCTTAGTGCGTTCTGGAAATGAATGACTAGGTCCAAGTTTTAAAAAAGAAACGGTAGAAGCTTCTTCAAGTTCTGGGACTAGGGGCATGTGCCACCATACCCAGCCTTCTAGATTACCTTTTATCTCTACTTTAAAAACATGTTATGTTCTGTTGAACTGCTTTTATTCTGAATTTTCCTCTACACTGATAGCGCGGTCAAATGTTTATAATCGACCATGTGCTTATACGAAGCACAATCCTCTCTGCGCATCTAGAATTATCTGTATTTTAGTTTGCTTAGTTTTAGGGCAGAGTCCTGTGTCGCCAAAGCTGACCTCAGACTTTGTAGCCAAGGATGGCTTTGAACACGTGATCCTGCTTCCACCTTCTAAAGCTGGCGTTACAGGTGTACAGCTGGGCTTAAATTACGTCTTTAGGCAAAACGTTAAAAAGTAGCCTTAACACGGCTGTCCTAGGGCCTGCTTCCCTCTCCCAAGTCTGGCATCCCAGGACAGAGGAGTAGTGCTCCAATTTGGTGCCTAAAGCAAGTTTCTCTTTCTTAGTGCTGGCAATCACCGGTCTCCATACCCCTGTTACCTTTAAACCTGAAGCTGTGTTTGTTGTGGGTTCCAGCCCGGTTATCGCCAGGGCTGTGTGGGTAAATCCTTCTAAGCAGTCACTCAGCTTGTTCTGTACCCTCACTCTTGGTATGTATATGTAGGATGCTAATACCTTGTCTTCCTGCTCCTTTTCTGTCTTCTTTGTCTCTCTCCCCCTAACTTTGTCCCTGGGTGTTTTGGGGATCTCAGTATCTCTTTCTCCGTATCTCGATCTCAGTCTCTCTGCCTTTTGTACAAAGATTAGTTTTAATGTAGTCTGTAGTTCCTTTGTAAACCAATTATTACTTTTTTTTATTTAGTTAAAAAAAAAGTAGCCTTAACAGGAGGAAGAGGCAGGTGATCTCTGAATTTGAGGCCAGACTAGTCGTCACAGGGACTCCGGTCTAGCCACAGCTATATATTGAGACCTATGTCAACAACAGCAAAAGTAGCCATAAGTCTTGTTCTTTCTCGTTGTTGTTTGAGACAGGATCTCACCTATTGCCTAATCTGGCTTTGAACTCTCTGTTCAAACCCTGCTGTCCTTGACCTCCCAGACCTCCTGCTCTTGCCTCCCAAGTACCAAGATTACAGCCTTGGGCCGCTGCCCCTAGCCCTCCAGTTCAGGGTATGAGATCCTCTCAGGTTTTCTCGTTTCCTTAGCAGCGGTTGCTCAACATACAGGTTCCATACCACATGCCTTATAATCGTGTGCTTTCGGTGACTGTTCGCCAATTTGTAAATGTGTGGTACCACCGATTTCAAAAAATGCTTCGTTTGTTTGTTTGAATGTGTGCACCGGGTGCCCCTGCCACGGCCCATGTGCGGAGGGTAGAGGACTCTTGCTGGTTGGTTCTCCTCCTTGGGCAGTCAGCCTTGGCTGCAAGCATCTTGACCCACTGAGCCATCTCACTGGCCCCACACTGATTATTTTTACGGATGCACTGTTGGCTCCTTTGTCTTAGAGCCTCCTGTCAGCCAAGATAAATTATCTCTTCTTCCTAGTCAGTAGTTACCTGGTTAACGAGTATCTGGAATGTGTGTCAGGGGATCTGTAATTTTCCCTTTAAGCTGAGATCAGTCTGATTTTCCTTCTGCAAGCAGCTTTCCTGCTAGTACACACAGAACATTACCCATGCAGTGAGAGCCAGATTAATTTGTCTTTATTTTATTTTAGTTATTTTATTTGAGACAAGGTCTCATGTAGCCTAGGCTAGACTCAATCTTCTCCATATCTAAGGATCCGGGATCCAGATCTTCTTGCTCCCACCTCCTAAGTCCAGGTGTGTGCTCCCGTGCCTGGCCAGGGCTCACATTTCCTATTCTCAAGCCATTGTAAACACGTTCTTAGATGCCCCAGCTTTTAATAAAGAGGCAGTGATCAAAAGCGGTTAGCAGGCTGGGGAGGTGGCTGAGTAAGTGAGAAGCTTGCTGTGTATAAGCTTGACTTGAGTCTGGATGGCAGAACCCACGTAAAAGCCAGATGTAGCAGCTTATACCAGGCCCTGGGGCACGCAGATCTTAGGGGCTCTTTGAACAGTCAGTCTAGTCAAAGTAGTGCGCTCAGAGTTCAGTGGGAGGCCTGTCTCATATGGAAGGTGGAGGTCCATGAAGTCGACCTCTGAGCTCCACACACATGTACCGCACGCACACACACACACACACACACACACACACACACACACACACACACAAACATAGACAACATACACACACAAAGAAAATCTCACTGCCCCTCATTTGAGGAAAATGGATACACATGTTCTGCTCTGTCACACGAGGAACTCTGCATGATTTTCTAATTGTGGTAGGAAAAGCAAGTAACTGTAGGATCCATTTCACTGCGACAGTCACTAGTTATGGCTGGTCTCAAGGTGACTCTGTGACCTTTGGTATTCATTTTTCTAATAAGTGTTTGAATGACTCAGATTGGGCATTCTTAACCTGTGTCTTTTTGCATTTTTTTCCCCCTAGGTGAATGTCGGATGCGTCCCCAAAAAGGTAAATTTTTAATCTCGCCTTCCCTTGCTACTCCTTGCTCATGTTAAGTGAATCATGGTCAGAATAAGGGCGTTCCAAACATTCCACTTGCAGATTGCTCTCGTTAGCTTTCTGTTGCTGTGGCAAGCACCTGACCAAAAGCACCTTGGAGAGGAAAAGGTTCATTTCAGATACAGCTCACAGTCCATCATAAAGGGAAGTCAGAGCAGACACGGAAGCAGAGACCATGGCGGAACACTGCTTACTGGCTCGTTCAGCTTGCTTTCTTATATAAATCCACAAAACTTACAAAAATATAAAGTTTAAAAGAGGAATAAGAGTAAGACTAAACAAAAAAGTATAAGGAATAATAAACTTTAGAGGAACAATTATGAGGACAGTAATATTTTACTTTTTATCCTGTGTATAGGCTGGCTCATTTAATGCTATCATTTTCCCTGATACTTCAGATATAAAATCTGTCTAGCCAGATCCCGAATCTTCTCTCTTAATGTATTTAGTTGTCATTTAACTCCAAGGTCACTATTTTTGTCTGTCATGTTTCCTTCATGGCTTCTGTCTTCCTTCAGCACTCGAGCGTGACTAATTTTGATACTTTTTCTTTTTAAATAGGTAATGTGGAACACAGCTGTCCACTCTGAATTCATTCACGATCATGTGGATTATGGCTTCCAAAGCTGTGAGAATAAATTCAATTGGCAGTAAGTGTTAATGCTACAAGGGTTCCATTTACAAGTCTGGGTGCTTTTGAACCCCATTTGTACTTTGAGGGGCGGGGGTTTACTGTGTCTGAATATGTTCAGGGCTGGGCATGTAGCTTGGTTGCAGAGGGTTTTTTTTTAAGTTTTTATTTTAGTGTTTTTTTTTAAGTTGTTGTTTTTATGTTTTTTGTTTTTGTTTTTTTTTTAGTTTTTCAAGACAAGGTTTCTTTGTAACTTTGGAGCCTGTCCTGGAACTAGTTCTTATAGACCAGGCTGTTCCTCAAACTCACAGAGATCTACCTGCCTCTGCCTCCCGAGTGCTGGGATTAAAGGCGTGCGCCACCACTGCCTGGCTTCTGTTGTAGAGTTCTTGTCTAGACCGTGTAAGGGCCTGGGTTCAATCCCTGCTACATATGTGTGTTTGTGTATGTATGTCTGTGTGTGTGCATAACAAAATTGACCATTTTCATTATTGTCAGTATACAGTTTGACTTTAGGCACACACATATTGTATAGACAGTACCACTTACAAATTTCCAGAACTTCCCCGTAATCCTGAACAATTATTTCCGTTAAATAGTAACTCCTGGGGGCTGGAGAGATGGCTCAGTGGTTAAGAGCACTGGCTGCTCTTCCAAAGGTCCTGAGTTCAGTTCCCAGCAGCCACGTGGTGGCTCACAACCACCTGAAATGAGATCTTGTGCCCTCTTCTGGCCTGCAGGCATGCAGGCAGGCAGAGCACTGTATACTTAATAAATAAATAAATAAATAAATAAATAAATAAATAGTAACTCTTGGTTCCCTACTTCACTCCCAGCCCATGAAACGTGTTCTGCTTTCTGTAAAGCGGGCCAAACCTGTGCTTGATGCTTACTGGGCGCCTATGCTCTCATTCTGGGCCTGATTTATTGGCATCCACTCTCTGTAGCACCGAATGCCACTGCTGTGCCGCCCCCTTGTTCATCAGTCATCGGTTCTGTCATCCCGAGTTGCTTCTACTTTGCGGCTGTCATGTACAGTCTGTGTCATCAGTCATGTACAGACTGATGTACAGTCCTGTGTTGGAGGCCGTGTTTCCAGTCCTTCCGGGTCTACCTAGAAGCCTGTGCTGGGTGATAGGACAGTGCTGTGTTTAACTCTCTAAGGTATTGGCACCCACTTTGGGAGCCATCAATTTTTCAAAGACTTTAAATAAATTTGTTTATTTAAAGTCCATTGGGTACCATGCCAGAATAGCTCTCCTGGTTTGTTTGTTTGGAGTGTGTGTGTGTGTGTGTGTGTGTGTGTGTGTGTGTGTGTGTGTGTGAGAGAGAGAGAGAGAGAGAGAGAGAGAGAGAGAGAGAGAGAGAGATGCTGCAGCACATGTGTGAAAGTCAGAAAACAGTTTGTAGGCCTGGTTATTCCATCCTGTGATCTTGTGGGTCATGGGATTGAACTCAGGTAGTCAGGCTTGGCAGCATGTGACTTTACCTAGTAAGCCATCTTGCTGGTCTAGCTCCTGATCTTCGACACAAACAGAGGCACACATACTGCAGATGCTCCCTGAGCATGCTCCAGAACGGAACAGGAGCGTCCTCAGCACAGAGACGCGTCTGGCCCAGGGGGATACCTCTCTTCAGTTACATTTTTCATTCTTACAAATAGTCAGTGGCCTTCGAGGCTGATGCCCTGGCTTCTAGGTGAAGTAGGAAATTTGTTTCTGCGTAGTGACTCGGGTGTCTTTACAGTGTCATCAAGGAGAAGCGCGATGCCTATGTGAGCCGCCTGAACACCATCTACGAAAACAATTTAACCAAGGTGCGTATGCTGACCTTTGAGCTTGGCGAAGGAGCCCTAGAGGAGGCACCAGATCTGGCCAGAAAAAAAATGTAGCCTTTGGATATGTCTTCCTATTTCTTTTTTGGTTTCTCTGTGGGTAGTCCTGGCTGTCCTTGAACTCACTCTGCAAATCAGGCTGGCCTCAAACTCACAGAGATCCTCCTGCCTCTGCCTCCCAAGTGCTGGGATTAAAGGTGCGTACCACCCTCGTCCAGCCATGTTTTAATACTTCTATACTTTTTTCTTTTTTTTTTTAAAGATTTATTTATTTATTATGTACACAGTGTTCAGCCTCCTTGTATGCCTGCAGGCCAGAAGAGGGCACCAGATCTCATTACAGACAGTTGTGAGCCACCATGTGGTTGCTGGGATTTGAACTCAGGACCTCTGGAAGAGCAGTCAGTGCTCTTAACCTCTGAGCCGTCTCTCCAGCCCCCTTCTATACTTTTTTATGTTAATCATTTTGAAGCTGACTTTACTGATCACGAGCCTTTGATCCAGTAGGCCAGTTTCTATCTACAAAGAGCAGACAGGGTATGCCAGGTCTGTAGCAAGAATACACGAGAGTGCTTGGGTGGTTGGAGCTGAGCTGGCGGCTTGCTGGTGCTGCTCTTGGATGGTCGGAGCTGGGCAGGCAGCTTGCTGGTGCTGCTCTTTCCCCTTGGTCAGAACAGCTGTGGCGGCGGCTAACCTGTCCCGTGTCAACGAGCGCTCACCCCTATTTATACATCTGAATTCTTCTGAAGCTCTCCCAGACTCTCGTGGATTCTCGCTACCCAGCTCTCCCCTTGTGTGTATCTTCAGTAGCTCTGTCCCTTCAGTTCCAGTAACTGGAGAGAGGGATTTATAGGACAGCGTGCTGGCCAAAGCCAGGAGCATATGCTCAAAACCCAGTGCCCATCCTTTGCTGAGAACAGCTTCTTACAGACTGGATTCAGACATATAACTTTGTAAGTAAATTCTTATCAAGAAAATTCTGCAAAGGCGTATTTGCCTATAATAAATGTTTGTCCTCTGTCACTCTCTCCCGATACATTTTTTAAATTATAGATTTATTTTTGCTTGTACATATATGTGTATGTATGTGTGCAGATGCCCATGGGGCAAGGATGGTGTTGGATCCCCTGGAACCGCAGGTGCAGGCAGTTGTGAGCACCGAACATAGGTGCTAGGCTCTGTCTGGGTCTTATGGAGGAGCAGCAGGCCCTCTTAACCACGAAACAGTCTGCCCAGCACCCCTCCCCTTTTGTCGGCGCTTAGACTGAAGCCTTGGCTGGCCTGGTGCTCACTGTGCAGAACTCACAGACATCTTCCTACCTCTGTCTCTTGAGTGCTAAGACTAGAGGCTTGTGCCATCGCCAGCTGCTATTGGAGTTTCTTTAAGGTGGCTAACATAAAGAAATTAACTTTCTTAAAGAAAAAGACGGGCTTACGAGATGGCTCGCAATTAAGAACACCAGCTGCTTTTCCAGAGGAGCCCAGTTTAGTTCTCCGTCACGTACATGGTGGCTAACAGCTATGATTTCAGATCCAGGGGATCTGATGCTGTCTTTTGGCCTCTGCGGGGCACTTTGCATGTGTGGCATACATGCCTCCATGCAGCAAAACACCCATAACTGTGAAATAAAAATAAATAAATCTTTACCAAAAACAAGGTAGGAAAATTACTGAGAAATCAGTTTTTCTTCAGAACTTACGATTGCTGTGTGGTAGAGTTCACTGCAACCTTGTGGTAGGCTAGAGCTGATAGAAGGTTCTACAGCAAAAGGAACTTTGATGCCTTGTCCCAGGCAGTGCAAACCTTCTCCCGACTATTAAGTGCGGCGTTGTCAGCACTCACCCCTTTTTCTCCCAGGGAGAACCCACTGCCCCCCAAGAAAGCCTGTTAGCAGTGCTTGTGGGTTTGGCATTAGTTTAAATTCAGTTCATTAAGCCTGGCACCTGCAAGAACAGGCCTGGAAGGGAGGTTAGGAGGGAGGAAAGAGTTCAGAACCAGGCATGCTGCAAAGCGCTGACTCACTCCCGTGTGTGAGCATACTTACGTGGCTCCATTAGCTTTTCATCACCCGCCTCTGTGTGCCAGGACATAGGTCACCGCTGGCTGGAGCTTGCTGGCAGGCCTCGGGTTGACCCCTTGTCCAGGCAGGGTTCCACTCAGCAGGCCAAGCATTAGTGCTCTCAGAATTTCCACGGTAGAGCATCTCTGTGGAGTTTGTTGTTTTTAACGTTCCTCCCACCAAAGAAAGCAAAAGGTTACCTCCTCTCCGTTGGCCAGAATATTTCTCTGGCGTCTTTCACCTCTGTTTGTCCCTTGTCCTCCTTATGCATCTCCCTCCCCTCTGGCATGTCCTTTTTAGTGACTTTTCAATGTGAGGAAGGAAGACTTTCACCGTCAGCTCTTGGAATCAAAGATGCTGTCTTTTTCCTTGGAGGAGTGGCTGGCATGGGTTTTGTTCTCTTGCTCCTGGCTCGAGGTAGACCGTTACTTCTTGTTATTCACGTTCAGCACGAACGGGCGATGAGCTCTCCTGCATATCAGTTACTAGTTGACAGGACTAAGATTGTGAGCAACAGAATCCATCTTACTGTTTAGAAATCCCAAATCAAAATCTTGCGGTGTACAGTGGCACTTGCCTATAATCCCAGCTGTGAAAGGCAGGAGGATTGCCATTTCAAGGCAAACTTGGGCTCCAAGAGACAGGTGTCTGAGCTTTGTAATCCTAAGACTCCTAACACTCAGAAAGTAGAGGCCCAGGATTTTTGAGGTCATCCATTACTACATAATTGGATTGGAGCTCCGCCCAGGCTTTTTTTGGGGGGGGGGGGTGAAGTAAGAAGTTGATGTATTAGGCAGCTATTTATTTTTTGAGATTGGTCTCCTGTACTTCAAACTGCCTGTGACCTTTGACCTTGCTACATAGCCAAGTATGACCTTGAGTGAGAGCCTGATCCTCCTGCCTCCTCCCAAGTGCAGGATTCTAGGAGTGCACCACCACTCCCAAGCAGGTGTGCTTTTTGTGTGTTTGCTTTTTGCGTCTTACGACTGCGCTAATGCCAGCGTTCCCTGTCCAGTCCCACATAGAAATCATCCACGGCTATGCAACATTTACAGACGGTCCTCAGCCCACGGTCGAGGTCAACGGGAAGAGGTATACTGCCCCTCACATCCTGATTGCCACAGGTGGTTTGCCCACAGTTCCTCACGAGAGCCAGATCCCAGGTGAGTCTTCCAGAGGCCAGTGCGGTCAGAGAGTTTATATGCCACATCATGGGATCGGCCTGCGCGGGTTCTGTCCTGAGAAAGGCCAGGAAAGAAGGTCCTAAAATCGTGATTTTAACGATGCGCCAAAGAAAGCTATTCCGTCCAGCTCAGGAGTCAGGAAGAGAAACCGTGAGAGCTGCAGCTTAGTGCTCCTGGGATGGCAGAGTGCTGCCAACCTGGGGCTGTCAGACAAAGGATTATTTCTAAGATTTAGTATACAGTAACTGTTCAAGAGAGAGAAATATTGTAAAAAGAATAGCTTTTCCCAGTGCAAGTTTTTGTTTTTTTCTTTCTTTTTTAGATTTATTTATTTTTTATGTATACAGTGGTCCGCCTGCATGTCTGCCTGCAGGCCAGAAGAGGGCACCAAATCTCATTACAGATGTTTGTGAGCCACCATCTGGTTGCTGGGAACTGAACTCAAGACCTCTGGAAGAGCAACCGGTGCTTTTAACCACTGAGCCATCTCTCCAGCCCCAAGTTTTTGTTTCTGTATAGCCCTGTGTAAAAGATAAACTAGCCATGAATCTCTGAGGTGGTCCTATCTGCCTGTGTATCTGTGTGTTGGGCTAAGAGCTAGGAATGAATCCTGAGCAGATGGCCATAGTCACTCTTAAGATGCATTAGTCATTCTTTCTCCTACGTGGATTTCTTAATTTCCTGTAATACCGTAAGTCTTAGATGGTGAGTTTCTTCATTTCTGTTGCTGTGATAAACTACTCTTGACAAAAGCGACAAGAAAGTTTTAATGTGGCCCACAGTTGAGATTGCAGCCACGGCGGGAATGCAGGTCACAGCACATGGCAGTGAGTGTGTGCCTGCTCTCGCCCAGCTCTCCCTGCACAGCTCCAGGCTGGGGTCCTGCCTAGGGAATGGCACTGCTCACAGTGGGCGGGGCTTCCCAGTCCGTGCGTCAAGCTCTTCCCACAAAGCCCTTCTACATTCCTTCCTGTTGACAGCTAACAAAAGTCGTCATGGTGGGGCATGCTTTACACATCTTTGGAATTCTCATGGAATGTGAGTTTTGAATGCAAATTGGAGCACTTCGTGTGTGTGCATGTATGCCTTTAAACAGATCTTTTCCTGTTATTCGCTTTTTTTTTTTTTTTTAGATAGCCTCATGTAACTCAGGCCAAGGATGATCTTAAATTACTGATTCTTTTGCCTCTATTGAAATTGTAGGCATAAACCATCACACTGGCTTATAATTTTCTTGTATTTATGGTTGTTTTCTTTCCTTTATTTCCTACCCTCTGGAATTTTAAGCAGGGTTTGTAATCCCCAAAGCTAAAGAACAACCACTGTAAAAGATGCAGAGATACCATTCTCAAGTAACGTGGTGTTTACTTGGGAATATTCGGTGGGCATAACCTCTATTGGGTGGATATAACCCCTGCTAAAACCAGTCTCTAATAAGGCCTGGAGGCAGGTCTGGAGAGATGGCTTAGTGATTAAGAGTGCTTGCTGCTCTGCCAGAGGACCCAGGTTTGATTCCCGCCAGCCCCATGGTGGTTCAGAATCATCTGCAGCTTCAGTTTCCAGGGCATCTGACGCCTTCTTCCTGGCACCAGGCCCTTCACGGTTGGCTGTATGCTGGAGAGGCCGAGTACCCAGTAATTAGCCGCTCCATCTACAAGGCTGGATTTCTCTCAGTCTGACTCTGCAGGCTTAGAGGATTCCTAGAGAGCCTCTGCTCTTCTGCCAGAGGGCTGAAGCAGCTGTGTCCTCATGTCAGTGAAGGGTGGCAGCAGCGGAACAGGGGGTAGATGCATTTGCCTCTGACCTCCACCCGCAGAAGGTGCTGCTTTCCTCTGTCCTGGCAGGTAGAGCAGGTTTGAGGCAGTGAATCTCTGTATGCAGCAAGCAAATCCAGAAGAGCAAATAGTAAGGACTAGGTAAATAGAAGCAGCAGGTAACACCTAGCTGAAACCATTAAGAACACTAATTGGGAGAGCAAGTGAAAGTAACAGTGTTGGATCAGGCACTTAGAACAGAAAGCCCCGTGGGGGTCTGGGTTGTAGCTCTGTGCGGGAGTGCTCCTTAGCAGGCCTGAGACCTTGGTTCAGTTTTTAGCAGTGCAAGAAACAAGACACGGCCTGGAAGGAGGGCTCAGCTATTTAGAGCAGGTGGTGCTGTTCCAGAGTACCTGAATTCGGATTCCAGCACCCACATGGTAGCTCCCAACCTTCCATAACTCCAGTTCCAGGGGCCCCAGCGGCCTCTTCTGACCTCCACAGGCACGGCCTGAACATGGTGCACATACACACATGTAGGTAAAATACTCATAAATATATATAATAAATCTTAAAAGAAAAACACTAATGGTGGGGCTCTAGAGATGGCTCAGTGGTTAAGAACACTGGTTAATCCTCCAGAGGCCCTGGGTTCAATTCCCAGCACCCACATGGCACTTACAACAACCAGCTCTAACTTCAGTGGATCCAGTACCTCTTCTAGCCTCTGCAGGCACTGTATACATGTGATACACAGATATGCATGCATGTGAAACACCCATACCCATAAAATAAAATGATTTTTAAAAAGCAAAACAATAACAGAAACCTAATAATTTATTTTGTCTAGAGAGAGGAGTAGAGGCATAGAATGGAGAGGAGTCCTGACCTTACTCTCCCCTCTAGTGTACCTTCTCATGGTTTTATTTGTTTGTTTGAGACAGGGTTTTTCTGTGTAGCCCTGATTGTCCTGAAACTTGCTCTGTAGACCAGACCAGGCTGACCTCGAACTCACAGAGATCCACCTGCCTCTGCCTCCCGAGTGCTGGGATTAAAGGTGTGTGCTACCACCACCTGGCAATTTGTTTATATTGGAGATTGAGCTCAGAATCTCATACATGCTAACCTTATGCATTACCTATGTACATACCCAGCCTACCATTTTTGTGTGTGTGTGTGTCTGGTTTTTTCTTGAGACAGGGTTTCTCTGTATCTTTGGAGCCTGTCCTGAAACTAGCTCTTGTATACCAGACTAGCCTTGAACTCACAGAGATCCACCTGCTTCTGCCTCCTGGGTGCTGAGATTAAAGGTGTATGCCACTACCATCCAGCTTTTGTGGGTTTTGGGGGGTTTTTTTTTTGTTTGTTTGTTTTGTTTTGTTTTTAAGACAGAGTTTCTCTGTGTATAGTTCTGTCCTGGAACTCACTCTGTAGACCAAGCTGGCCTCAAACTCACAGAGATCTGCCAGCCTCTGCCTCCCAAGTGCTGGGATTATAGGTGTGTACCACCACATAAAAGGTGGCCCAGCCTCACCTTTTAAGAGATTTAAAACATTACTTCATTAATTAAGGTAATAAAAGCAAGTACAGCCTCTAAATTCTCTAAGATACCAGATGGTAAAGACAGAGATTTTCTTGAGGTGGGTGTTTTCCATTTTAATTGGTGGCTTGAACCTGGAAGAGTGGAGCCTAAAAATAAGGGGACCAAAGTCTCATGCAGGGGCCAACTTTATTCAGAGCACCAGACAATTTATACTCTGAAGGTTTAGGAGAGTCACCTGAGGAAAGTGTGCAATCCCAGGGACAAGCCACACATGACGAAAACATGATTTTCCATAGAGGCACATGAGTAACAGCAGAAGAGACAACTCCCTCCTGTCCACTGCCCCTGGGAGGAGCATGAAACCACATTCCAAGAACAAATGTCTTGGAAGAAGCAGAGGTCACAAGACTCCTGTCTTGTTTTCTTGGAGTTTTCTCACAGGACTCCATTCTTGGACTGTGTTAGACAGAAGGGAGGATCTCTGGACGGGCATGATCCAGGATGACTCCTAAGACGGGCTGTCAGTCAGAACTTTGTGCTGAGAGAGAGAAGAGCGGGGATAGTCAGTGGGTGCTACAGACGTCTCTGAAGGATTCTCAGCCAGGCCAGTGAGTTTGACAGCACCGTGCTTCTTGAAGCCGGTGCTTAGAATTGAGACTGTGAGACTAGAATTAGGTTATGATGGACTCAGGGTGATTCATCACTTTGTCACTTTGGCAACTGTAGCCAGTCATTGTTGGCTTGTACACTTTGGCTTGTACACGTGAGGAGATCTGTGTGGCGTCCAGAGGCTAAGCTGGCAGGGACTGGATGAGGAGAGACTTCTGAGGCTGACTCCTAGTCTGCAGGAGGTGGAAGACAGTTCTAAATTAACACTCTCACCAGCAATACGGTGGGAGATTCTCACCCTGTTGTGTAGGCACTTACCGAGCCCCCGTCCTGGGTTCAGGGGAGCAGGCTAAAGACAGCCCACAAAAGGTCAGGTGCTGTATAACTCCGATCTAAAGACCAAAAGCAACTTGGGGAGGGAAAGACGGGATCATTTCATCACACAGGTTACAGTTCCTCATAAAGGGAAGTCAGGGCAGGAACTTCAAAGCAGGAACCTGGAGGCAGGAACTGACCCGGTTTGCTTCCCACGGCTTGTTCAGCCTGCTTTCTTAAACAACCCTAGCACCACCTGTCCATATGAATCAAGAAAATACCCTATAGACATATTCCCAATTCTGAAAAAAATTCTGAAATTTGAAATTCAGAACTCTGGCCTCACAGGTCTCAGAGGAGGGGAACTTGCGGAAAGGAAATTATAAAGCAAGACAGATGTAAATGTGGAACTGGACTAGCTGAGGAGGAAATCAACACAGTTACTGTACGTGTAGTCTTGGAGAAGAAAGGTGGAAGGTGTGGTAGCGCAAGCTTTTAATCCCAGCGCCAGAGCGAGCGTCAGGGGCAGGCTGATCTCTGTGAGTTGATCTACGTAGTTTAAGTTCTGGGGTAGCCAGTATTGTTATTCCCATCACATCCAGGTACCATGGTCATCAGCATTCAGGCAGGATGCTTAGTCACCCCAGGCATTAGCATTTCCGGGTCCCCAAGGCCGGCTACGCATGCGCCGTTGGCATTCAGGCAAACTGCCTAGTCACCCTAGGGCCTTGCGCCCTAGTAATCTATGATCTATGTGCAACACTGCCATGTAATCTGATCTGTGCATGACGTGGCTATACATATGTGGTAAACGAAGTTTAAAAAGCGGGCGCAGCCGCTCCACTTCTCATCACGTTGCTTCCAGATCGGCTGGTGCACCCCACCTTTTCCCTTCCCTTTACTAATAAACTGCTCTTAGAGCTACGACAACTGACAAGATCTTGGTCCTTCAGGGAAATCTGCATTTACTTATTCATCGCTGTTCAGTTTCTTGGGATAAATGTAAAATGTAGACTGCAGGAAGACGTTCTCTCCGTGACGTTCTAACAAAGCTGTCGAGACAGAATGCATCGGCTGAGAGAGTTGTTTGGTTCTTGTCCAGACATGGCGGCTTATACCCCAAATTCCCAATGCTTAAGAGGCTGAGGCAGGAGGATCGCCATGAGTTTGAGACCAGCCTGGGCTGCACAGTTAAATCCCAGGTCAGCCCATACGGCAACGTGTAACCATTTCTTAGCCCTTGCTAAAAATGTGAGGTTAAATGTATGTTTCTGTGACCACTCTGTGGTCTTTTTCTACATAGGTGCCGTAAGGTTAAATAGTATGTCCCTTTTACCACCGTGTGGTGTTTTTCTACATAGGTGCCAGCTTGGGAATGACCAGTGACGGATTTTTTCAGCTGGAGGACTTGCCTAGGTAAGCAGATGTGACGTCCGGATTCCTGTCTCCTTCTCCTGGGACCCAGTGCTCTTCCTTTTCTGCCCGACCTCCCTTCCTCGCTTATCTTTCTGTGTTGCCCAGTCTTGAACGGTCTCAGTTGACTCACCTCCCTCAGCACGATCCACCCTGATGTGTTTTTAGGCTTCGCAGATATGATGGCAGTGAGCATGCTTCCAGAAATAGCCATGACTCAGTCGTGTTTGGATGATAATGTCAGTCATTTCAGCCCCACCCCCGAGCAAGCTCTAGTACAGATATTTGCCCATTATATATTTTAGAGCTACTTAATAAACTTTTATTGGTATGAAGACAACCTTAATGAATGAAGTCATTCATGCTATAAAGAAACGACTCTGGGAACAAAAGGAAAGGAGCTACCAGTTGAGCTGGGCGTGGTGCCTTTGCTCGGGAGGCTAGAGTGGAGAATGGCTGGAAGCTAGGTGTTCCAGGCTAGACTAGGTAACCTAGAGCAACCCATCTCAAAAAAGAACGTCAGTCAGGCCGTGGTGGCGCACACCTTTACTCTTAGCACTTGGGAGGCAGAGGCAGGTGGATCTCTGTGAGTTTGAGGCCAGCCTGGTCTACAAGAGCTAGTTCCAGGACAGGCTCCAAAGCTACAGAGAAACCTTGTCCTCTAATTGTCACTAGACCTCCCTAGAATAAATTGCCTTTCGATGACCAGGACGAATTGAGTGAAATCGTCATGGACAGATACGGGGTAGACAGTAAAAAAAAAAAAAAAAAGAGAAACCCTGTCTCAACAAACAGCATCCGGTTGTGGCACTGTAGTCCTGCAGCCCTTGGAAGGCTGAGGCAGGAGGATAGCTTTGCTATATAGTAAGTTCAAGGCCAACCTGGGCTTCATTGATTGTCCCTCCCTCCAAGCTATCTATTTCTTGGGTGATTTCTTTTTTTATTTCTTTTCCTCTTAAAATCAAATTATAGTCTTGGAAATCCTGTAGGTGAGGTCCCAGTGCACCACGTGACTCTGGTTTTGCCTCAAAGGATTTATGGCTGGGGGGGGCACCTTGACCCCCTCTGGAAGGCTGTGGTAGTGTTTCTCATTCTCAAGGCGTCAGGAGGTAGGAAGGGGTGGCTTTGTGGATGTGGAAGTATGGAAAGTCCTGTTTGATTTATACTGTGGTGGCAGGAGGTGGGGATGACCTTGCCAGCCTGTGGGAGCCAAGGGACACATTGGCTTCTTGCAGCTCTCAGAAGCAAAACTGTGTGGCGGCTGTTATGCCCAAGAAGTTAATTGTCCCCCAAAAAGAAACTCCACAGAACCAGATTCTGATGTAAAGCTCAAGATGGTTTTTAATATTCAAACTTGAGTTTGGACCACACCTCCAGCACACCAACACAGTGGGTGAGGAAAGTGCATCTTTTAAAAGGGAAACGCCTTAATCAGGGGATTTCATGTCCTTTTGTTTTGGGATTGGGTAAGGAGGACATAGGACGAGGTAGTTTCTGAAACCATTGGTCAGTTTTTGGGTGTGAAAACCCTAACAGAGCCGTGAATAACTGACAAGGTGTCTTGTATCTTCAAGTACAGGATGCCTCCTAGGAACATCTGGACCTCCTTAAATTTTATGCCCCGCTCCCTAGCTCCTTACTTGCCTCTTTTCAGGGTATCCCTTCAAATTCTGCTATCACAGCACATTTCTGGAGCCAAGATTCGTCCCCCACTCATTATATGGCTTAAGATGAAGCCCTTCTTTAAAATGGAGTTTGCAAAGTCAGGCCTTCACGATGGCAACCTTTTCCACAAAAGACACCCGTCTCTCAGGAATCCAACACTTTCTACCTTTAACTACTTGGTCCTCTTTGACCAGCTTCAGGTGCGTTTCTTTCTTTAGGAATTCTTCATGGGCCACGCCTTTCGGTTTGGATTTATAATCCCAGCTCCTCTAGAGGTTGAAGCTGTAGAATTACAGATTAATTCAAGGCCCCTTGGGCTGTTGAACAGATTTAAAGCCAGCCAGTCTTTAGACATTTTTAAGTCTGGAGATACAGCTAGGTGGCAGAGGCATGCGTTGTATGGAAGGGGCTCTGGGTTCACCTCTGTCAACATCAACAAAAAAGACCCTCTGAGGGCAGAAACTGTTACCCATCTCGTCTAGTGTAGGACCTAGTACAACGTAGGACTTCAGTATCCAGAAAAGAAAGAGAAGGAAGGAGAAGAAAGGAGAACGGCAAAAGTGGGGCATGGTGGGGGAGACTTACGGAAAGGAAGGGGTCAGCGTAGGATTGAGTTCTTTAACCTCCAGCCAGGCCAGGAAGCCTCTGCAGGCTGCCATGTCTACGGAAAGTACTGAAAGACAGTTCCTTTGTTCTTTGCAGCAGTGAGAGGGCGTGTTGGAGCCTTGGAAAACCTGTAGCAGAAATCGCTCTCTGGGGCTGTTAGTCTCTACGCCTCAGCCTGGAAGTCAGCCTGCAGCAGCAGGGTTTCTCCTGCGCTGATCCAGTCATTCAAGCATTTCACTGGAGCTTAAAATCTTTTGTTAAACCAAAATGTATTCAGGAAGCTGAGTTCAACTGCAGCCTGGGCCACCCAAATGCTGGGATTACCGGCATGAGCCACCATGCCTGACTTAAAATGGCTTTCTTAAATTGGCCTTGGATCGTGCTACAAGGATTAATAGAGCTGAATAAAGATTGAGGAGAAATACCCAGCCCGGAAAATAATGGTGCTGTTAGATTTATGTATGGAAATTGGAAGGGGTTTAGGACCAGTCTCAGCTACTGTGTATTGGCCAACTGATACACAGACTGTCTCCAATGAATGAATGAATAAGTAAATGAATGAAAATGGGACATAAGGAACTTATATATCAAATAAAAATATCTTTCTCTTAGTGGGGGGAGGGAGGGTGGTACTAGAACTCACTTTGTAGACCAGGTTAGCCTTGAACTCAGAGAGATCCACCTGCCTCTGCCTCCTGGGTGCTTGGATTAAAAGTGTGTACCACCACCACCCAGCAAAATATCTTTCTTTTGTGGGGGAGAATTTTGTTTTGTTCTCTTTGAGAATAATGACTTGCTATGTAGCTCTGGGTGGCCTGGGACTCACACCAGGCTGCTACTGCCTCCAGATGAGTGGGATTGCAGGTGCATGTCACTACGTTATTCTTAAAATGTTAGCTGTTGGGCGAACTGAGCAGAGAGCCGGTACCTCTGAAGCCATTCCAAAGTCAGTTTCCAAAACCGGCACCCTTCGCTCTCATTTCAGGCGCAGTGTCATTGTGGGTGCGGGCTACATTGCCGTGGAAATAGCTGGCATCTTCTCTGCCCTGGGCTCCAGGACGTCACTTATGATAAGGCATGATAAGGTAAGTCCCATCTCCTCTTCTCCCTTTTTTTTCTAATTAGAGAACTTTTCTTATGTTTTAAAAACTAGGTATCGGGCTGGAGAGATAGCTCAGGGGTTAAGAGCACTGGCTGCTCTTCCAGAGGTCCTGAGTTCAATTCCCAGCAACCACGTGGTGGCTCACAACCACCGGTAATAAGATCTGGTGCCACCCTCCGACCTGCAAGGATGCATGCAGGCAGAACATTGTGTACATAATAAATAAGTCTTTAAAAAAAAAAAAACTAAAAACTAGATATCACCTAATTTTAAATTTTTAATTGAATTTATTATTATGTGCATATGATATGTACGTGTGAGTGCGGAGGGGCTTACGCCATGCTACCTATGACAGCAGATGGCAGTCATGGTGGCCTAAACAGGAAACCGAGTGTTCAGACACAGACAAAGGGGAGAGCGTGCAAACTGGAAGTGTCACGAGGCTTTACGTGCTCAGAGCTGGCCCTCCGGCAAAGTCACCTCCTAAAGCCCCCCCCCAAACATTGCCTCCAGATGGAGACCAAGCGTTCAAACAGCTGAGCCTAGGTGACAGGCTCATTCAGACCACTGCAGATGGGTTGACCTGGCTCGCTCTTGTAGGCAAACATTCTTCAAAATCAAACGTTCATTCTGATATAGTGCAATCCAAAAGTATACAAATTTGACCCTTCCACGCTAAGGAGTGATGATAGAGATATGTCATGAGACCATATATTTCTATAAGGGCCCTAGGCTTTGTATATGCAGTAAAAACACCGCATGTCATAACATAAAGTTCCTCTTCAATCTGACCTTTGATGGTCGCTGGCATTAAGTGGCATGTGCCGTACGGCATCCATGGCATAGTGAATTCGCAGTGTGCAGTGTGGTGGGCCCTGCCAGAAGCTCTTTAGACTCAGTATACATTTGATTCTGAATGAAGTTTCTGTCGTGTGTTCAGAAATTTCTTACTGTTGCCAAATTTTTATGCCACGCCCTTTCCCGCCCCCCATTCACTTCTACCGCTAGTTTAAAGTGCTGAATCTCGCTGCTGTTTCTCACAGGATAATTTGAGGAAGCCTTCTTGTAGACTAGAGGGAGAGCCTGCCCCGCTGCACGACAATTTTCCCTAGGTTCTGCAAAACAGAAAAAAGAAAATAGGAGAGGAGCATGAAGATAGTTGAAGTTTGACTGCTCATTTTTCAGAACTCTAAAATAGGTGTAGATGAAACCAGAGATAGTAGAGACACTGGTGCTGACGTAGGCAAAGAGAGCGTCTAATAAACCCCGCCCCAGTGCGAGCATGCGTGAAGGAGGTGGTCAGAGGCGGGATCATAGAGGGTTGGAGCTGCTTTCCCAAGTCCGTGCCATGACTTTAATCAAGCTTCATTTCTTTCCCCGCGCCCGGCCCTCGGCCGCCATGTTGAAATGCAGGTCCTTAGGAACTTTGACTCGCTCATCAGCTCCAACTGCACCGAGGAGCTGGAGAACGCTGGCGTGGAGGTGTTGAAGTTCTCCCAGGTATGCGTCCAGGGCTCCACCACTGAGCCATCCCTCTGCGCTGCAAACGCACACTTACTTCCTCTGCTGCATCTTAGCCTGCTTCTGCCTGACTCCATGGGCCAGTTCCTTCCTTCCTCTCCCTTTCCTTTAATGTATATGGACGTTTTGCCTTCATCTATATCTGCACTTTGTGCTTGCCTGGTGACCAGAAAGACCAGAAGAAAGTGTCGGATCCCACAGTGTCGGAGTCATAGATAGTTGTGAGCGGCCGTCTGGGTGCTGGGAATTGGCCCTGGGTCCTCTGTGAGCAGCCAGTGCTCTTAGCCTCTGAGCCATCCCTGTAGCAGCGTGTGCTCCCCCATCCCACCCGTTTGTATATGTTTGTGTTTTGTAGTGAATGGTTGTTTTTTGTTGTTGATTGTTTGTTTGAAGTGGTCATGCTATGGGGTCTTGCTTTGCGGTCCAGGTTAGTCTTGAACTCATGAACCTCCTGCCTCGGCCTCCCAAGTATGAGCATTGTAGATGTGCACTGTCACACCTGTCTTCTGCCAAAATGTTTTCTTTCTTAAAAAGCCAGTATTTCATATTAATGAAGTCAAGATGTAAAAAAAAGAACAAGCTGGTAGTTGAGCTTAGAGTTAAAACTTAGTTTTTCGAGACAGGGTTTCTCTGTCCTGGAAGTAGCTCTGTAGACCTGGCTGGCTTTGAACTCACTACTGGCCTCTGCCTTCTGAGTATTGGGATTAAAGTTGTGTGTGTGTCACCACCATCTGGCTAGAACTGAAACTTTTTAATGTTCTATGTACCTTTAATTTTTTTTAATTACTTGTTTATTTTATTAGTGCTTTTCTTACTTATATATCTGTGTGAGGGTGTCAGATCCCCTAGAACTGGAGTTACAGACAGTTGTGAGCTGCCATGTGGGTGCTGGGAATTGAACCTGCTCCTCTGGAAGGGCAGCTAGTGCTCCTAACTGCTGAGCCATCTCTCTAGCCCCCTCATGCATCTTTTCAAGAAATAGCAAGAAATAATTTTTAAGCATATTTTAAAAGTTATTTTGTCTAAAACAGACATTTGATGTAAACAAAGCATTACAGAGTACTTTATTCCTCAGGAGATTACGTAATTTCCAGTAGAGGACCTGGCAAATATGACTGTGGTCCTCTCCAGGTCCATGCTACCCTTTCCACATGGCCCACGTTGAGTAGACTGATAAATGGCAGTGTGCTTTGGGGATGCGGGAATGAGGGGGATCAGCATCACCTTGGAGCCCTACATTAAACGATGAGCTGGGCACCCACATGGATGCTTTCTACAACTACATATCCGTCAACAACTGGATGGTAAATATTTGCAGTAAAAGGGTGTGTCTATTGAACATGCATAGGCTTTTCTCTGTTCAGTATTCTACAAATAGTGGAGTCTAACAAACAACTGTTGCATGATATTTTCTTTGTGTTTGACATTTCAAGTATTCAGAATGTGCTTGGCTTATATGCAAATGGCAGCCCACACCTGTCTGTAACTCCAGTTCCAAGGGCTGCGATGCCCTCTTCTGGCCTCTGTGGGCATGGCACACACATGCGCACACGCGCGCGCGCACACACACACACACACACACACACACACATATGAATGCAGGTGTCCTTGGTGGGGAGGCCAGAGGTGTCGGAACCTTCTGGAGTTACACTTACAGGCAGTTATGAGCTGCCCAGTGTGGGTGCTTGGAACCAAACTCAGGTCCTCCGAGCCACCTCTCCAGTTCTGGAAATGTATTTATTTTTTTAGGCTGTAGCATTTCTAAGGTGTCTTAGTTACTGTTCTGTTGCTGTGAAGAGACACCATGACCAATCCGTGAAAGAGAGCATTTAATGAATTAGGGGCTAGCTTACAGTTTCAGAGGGTGCATCCATGACCGTCATGATGAGGAACGTGGCAGCAGGCAGGCAGGCGCAGTGCTGGAGCAGTAGTTAAGAGTTTGCATCTTATCCACAAGCAGCGTACAGACAGACAGACAGACAGACAGACAGGTCTGGCTTGGGATTTTGAAAACTCCAAGCCCATTTCCAGTGACACACCCTTCCCACAAGGTCACATACACACCTCTTATTCCTTTCCAAACAGTCGGACCAACTAGGGACCACATTGGAAGCCAGGCCAGTCCAAGGCTTTTCCTGAGGCCCTGATGTATGGAAAAGGAATGTAGTTCTTTAAAGAGCTATGGTATCAGTCCCAAAGCCACTGTGTGCCCCGTCTGTGATACTTGAGATATCCTATGTTCTTTTTGGGCAACATTGCTTGATTAACCTCCTGCCAACTTCATCCTATCCTATTATATGATAGATTGTCCCATTTCTCCCCTGCAAATAGTTTATAAGATGTGGTAATTTTTTTTGTCTAGACAGGGTTTCTCTGTAGCTTTTGGAGCCTGTCCTGAAACTCTCTCTGTAGACCAGGCTGACCTCAGACTCACAAAGATCCTCCTGTCTCAGCCTCCTAAATGCTGGGATTAAAGGCATGCGCTGCCACCACCCAGCAGATATGGTGATTTCTTAAGCTTCCTGTCATGAATCACCAGCTCATACAGACCTCCTGGTTCCTGCTGGGCTAGCCTTGGCTGTCCTGGAACTCTGTCTCATGTTCTCATTCCATCCTCCACCTCGACACCTTGCCCTTTAGGACCCTTTTTCTGCAGGTTCAGGTCTGAACCAAGTGTGAGCCTTTAGGGGGCCGTTTTCATACAAACCACCACGTATGCCCAGTGTTCCTAGTCATTGGAAGAGTAAAGAAAGAATCAAGGAAACAGGCTTGGCTCTGGGGAGTTTTGGTGTCCATGGCCTTTGACTGAAATTTAATACCTGTTTGAACTATAAGTAAATGTTATTAAAAATTCTAGCTGGGATATAATTGCCCAAACTTGTAACCCCAGCACTTTGGAATCTGGTGCAAAAATATTGATATGAATTTGAGGTCAGTCTGGGCTATAGATTGAGATCCTATCTCAAAAAAAAAAATAAATAAAACCCACAAAAAAAATTCTGGTTTTACTAAGCCTAGTGACTTAGGTCTGAACTCCCAGCTACTTAGGAAGCTGAGGCAGGAGGGTCTTAAGTTCAAGGCATCTCAGAGCAACAGAGTAAGCTTAAGGCCATACCAGGCAATTTAGTGAGATCCCATTCCAAAATAAGTAACAAGAGGGTAGGACGTAGCTCGGTGGTTGCGTGTTGCCTGGCGTGAGTGGAGCCCTAGGTTCAGTCCTGGTACTGGGAGAAAAATCTTTGCTTTCATGCTACCCTCACCTTTTTCTCCCGTACATACTTAACACTTTTTTTTTTTTATTATTTTAAATAGGTTAAGGAAGTAAAGAAAACACCATCCGGCTTGGAACTTCACGTGGTTACTGCGGTTCCTGGTAGGAAACCCACTACAACCGTGATTTCAGATGTTGACTGCCTGCTCTGGGCCATTGGACGGGACCCAAATTCTCGGGGCCTGAATCTAAATAAAGTGGTAAGCTGACTCGGTCCACCCTGTGTAGTCTTCCATCTCCCCATAGCCCCGTGACTTTTTGCACACCCATCCATGGGCTTTGTTGCTCTGGAATATCTCTCCTCTCTAGTGTCCTCACCCCAGGACAGGTATCTTGTTATATTGGAGGGGTCTGATCCAGATCGTCCAGACATTTCCTGACTCGCTTCTTTTTGCAGACTTCTAAATGCTAGGATTTTGGGTATGCACCACCCCACCTTCCCTCCCACTTCCTGTTCTTCCATCTTTCTCTCCTTCCTTCTCTTCCTCGCTCCCTTCTTTTCCTTTCTTCTTGGCAGTAGTAAGGATTGAATTATGGTCTCCTATACTTGCTAATTTTGGGTCTCCCACACATGCTAAATTAGGGTTTCCCACACGTGGTAATTTAGGGTCTTCCATACATGCTAATTTAGGGTCTCCCACACATGCTAAATTAGGGTCTCCCACATGTGCTAATTTAGGGTCTCCCATCCATGCTAAGTTAGGGTCTCCCACACATGCTAATTTAGGGTCTCCCACACATGCTAACCAAGTACTCTACCACTGACTGTAATCCTAGCCCTCCTTTTCCTTCATTTTAATTTTTTAAAGATGTGGTCTCACTGAGTTACCTAGACTAGCTTTGAACTCAGTCTGTAGCCCAGGCTGGCCTGGCAGTTGTCCTGCTTCAGCCCTCCGCATAACTGGGGTTACAGATCTGCACCACAGGTCCCCGTACTTGTTTCTTTGACTTGTGAGACAGGATCTTTCGTAGTGCAGGCTAGCCTCATTTTCAGTAGGGAACTGGAAATGACCTTGAACTTCTGGTCCTCCTGCCTCCACTTCCCAACTACTGGGATTCTAGTCGTGAGCCACTATGCCTGGAGCCTTCAACACTTTAATGCATAAAATATCTTCAATGAAATTTAATGAAAGCTCACTGCTCCTAATAATAAAACTGGTTCCCGAGCCTTTCATCTTTAATAGGCAACTTGTGTTTGGGCAGATGGGATGTTTGTAGGTCCCGTGTTTAACTAGATTGGCTGAATTATTTTTATCGCGTTTATTTATTTGTGAGAAGGTATGTCTATGCTAAAGCTCTGTTCTTTCCTTCTGCCACGTGGGTCCTGGGGATCGAACTCGAGTCCTCAGGCTTGTCACCTAGCGCTTTAACCCACTGGGCCATCCTGTCCGTCCTGTGTGGTGAATGCCTCTCCCCCTCCTATTCTCTCTCTCTCTTCTCTCTCTTTTTTTTTTTCTGTGTTTTTGGTAAACTAAGTAATAGATTTTGTTGTTACATCTTCATATGGATGTGTGGTCGTACTGGATTCTAATTCATGCCCCTCCACTGACCTCATCCCTCCTCTTCTTTCCTCTCAGTTCCCATCCTTATTTGTTGAATCTGTGTGTATATGTTGGTGTGTGTGTGTGTGTGTGTGTGTGCTCATGTGCTTTGCATGTAGTGGCCAGAGACTGACATTGGTGTTTTCCCCAATTGCTCTATACCACATTATTTGAGAGTCTGTCCCTGAACCTCTAGTGTGCCAGTTGGGCTAGACTGGCTGGTTAGCAGCCCCAGGGATAGTTTTGTCTCCGCCTGCCCAGCTCTGTGATACTGCTATACCTGGCTTTTCCGTCGGCGTTGGGGATTGAACTCAGGTCATCTCGCTTGCCCAGAGAGCTCCTCACTCACAGAGCCATCTTCCTAACTCCAGCTTTGAATTTCTTATCTCCTGACTCTACTTCCAAGTACTGGGATTGCACTGATACTGGGGATCAAACCCAAAGCTTCAAGCATGCTAGACAAGTACTCTACCAGCTCATTAATTCACTGGTACTCCACCAGCTCACCTACTTCCTTAGCTCATTAATTCACTGGTACTCCACCAACCTATTTCCCCAGCTCCTTATTTCCTGAAGTTTTAAGCAATGAGGCCAAAAACAAAGGTTCCTTCTCACCTTATGAAAAGCTGAGCTAGGTCTGTCGTAACACAAACTGGATGGCTGCTGTGTGCCAGGTTGTGTCAGCGATGACTCATGCAGTAAATCCTGCCAGTAACTAAAGGGCGAGGAAACCAAGAAACAGGCTTAATAGATACTTCACCGGGCCAGTGACTCGATGGAGTAGGAAGTCAGTCCAGCTCACCACTGTGTTTCAGAGGCCAAGTTAAACTCATTTGCAGTAGAAGCCCGAGTGTCTGTAGCTAAATAGGTGCATGTGTGAAATTTCATAACTAGTGAGTGACAGAGCTGGGATTCAAGCCAGTGTGTGTGTGTCTCTCTCTCTCTCTTTCTCAGTGATGCTGGGAGCCAGAACCTAATACCATGAAGCCACATCCCAGCTCCAAATATTGTATTCGTGTGTGTGTGTGTGAGAGAGAGAGAGAGAGAGAGAGAGAGAACATATAAATAAATTTACTTATTTTTGAGACTGGGTCTCACTGTGTAGCCAGGGCTAGCCCAGAACTGGCTAAGTAGACGAGGCTATTCTAGGACTCAGTAGCCATTCGTCAGCACAGTGCTTCTCTTCAGAAGCCACTGCACTTACCTCTCTGTCTCACACCGGAGCCTTGTGTCGCTCAGATGCGGCCGAGCCGCAGAATAAGCTGAGCGCATCTTGGGGGAAAGGCGCCTCAGCATGAAGGAAGTGTGTTTGGTTGTGCAGAATAGCGCATTTTGGAGTAGAATGCAAACTTGGCTGAGATTTAAATTAAAAAAAAAAAAAAGATGGTAACTTGAAACAAGTGCCTTTGGTGACTGTTTCAGGCTGTGACCCTCTAGGTGACCGTTTTACTTGGGTTCCTATTGCTGTGATAAAACACCATGACCAAAACAACTTGGGGAGGAATTGCTTTTTTTAAGCTTATAGTTTGTAGTCGATTATCCAGAGAACTCAAGGCAGAAACCGGTGTAGAAGCCATGGAGGAGTGCTGTGTGCGTACTGGCTTGTTCCCCGTGGCTTGTTCCCCGTGGCTTGTTCAGCCTGCTTTCTTAGAGAACCCAGGACCACCGGCCTAGGATGGCACCGCCCCCAGTGACGTCAATCATTAGTCAAGAAAATGCCCTCTTACAGGCTTGCCCACAGGCCAGTCTGGTGGGAACATTTTCTCGATTGAGGGTCTCTCTTCCCAAGGGCCCCTAGCATTTATAAAGTTGACAAAGTTTAATGCTTTTCATGTACTTCATGAAGCAGTTGACAGGCACTGCTTCAGAGGAGCCCCACGGGGCATCAAGAAGGGTGATATGTCTGATAGCCTCTCCTTCTCCCCCGCCTCTTTTGTTATTCCTTTTCATGCTTACTGAATTGTGGGTCAGTCTAGTTCCATCAAAGCACCTCGACAGTTCATAAAACAGTTCATATTTTTTTTTTCTATTAAGGAAGCTGTGGAACTTGACTTGAAGTGGTTTGTGTGTTGCCGTTAAGTCTTGTGGGTTTTTGAAGATGCAGATGTGACGTGCCGCCGATCTCGGGTTGACGTACCATGCCAGATGGCCCCAGTGCTTACCAGGTGTTCCTTTGTGGTTCTAGGGGGTTCAGACCGACGACAAAGGCCATATCATCGTAGACGAATTCCAGAATACCAGTGTCAAAGGCATCTACGCTGTGGGAGATGTGTGTGGGAGAGCTCTTCTCACCCCAGGTAATGCTGCTTCCTTTCCCGGGAAGAAAGGCCCGTGTGCCGTCTAAAGCTGCCCAGCTTTTTGCAGTCAAATTCACTTCAGCAAAATTAAAAGCATCCGTGTCTTTGTTATCAAATTGGCATTGAAATAGATGTAGGCTAAGTACCTCACGTTTTCTGAACAAAATTCACTATTCCTCAGAAGGCTGTCTGTATTTGTTGCTTCTCTCGGTGCTGACACAGAATACCTGATAAGAACAACTGAAGGGTGGCAGGGTTCCCTTGACTCCTGGTGTGAGGGATTCCTAGTCCGGCATAGCGGGCAGGGGCTGTCAGGAGGAGGAGGCTGCTGGGCATATCATGTCCACGATCTGGAAGCAGAGAGAAGCAGGTGTTAGTGCTTGGCTTCCTTTGTCCTTTTACCCTTTCGGTCCAGCCCGGGGAATGGTGCTCCCCATGTTCAGGGCAGGTCCTCTCTCCACAGTTAAACCACTCTGGAAAAGTCCTCAGATACAGCCAGGGTAGTGTCTCTTAACCGATTCTAAACCCAGTCAAGTTGATGATGAAAATGAACCATCACAGATTAGCAAATCCTGAGTTTGTAGCTAGAAGACCTTTCGTATAGACCACCTTCTGAAGACGTCTGTTTAGACAGTTGGGTGTTCCCATAGGAGTAAGTGGTCTTGGTGCCAGCCGCTCTAATGTCCTTGTCCCACTCACTTCAGGACCATGTCCAAGGCGTTTGCCACACCCATCTGCTATGTCATTTTCTGTTGTCTCTGAGACCTCACCAGACTCTCCAGATGTCCTAAGGTTTTTACCTCAGGGAGCAAGCCTGTTACACCCCAAATCCTTTTAGCTCTCTTAGGAAGCTGTCTTTCTGCGTAGTTTTAAATCAAAGTGATGTATTTGTGGCACACAGTGTGATGTTCTTAAATATTTCCATTTTGAAGAGAAGCTTAGTCAAACTAGTTAACATTTATTACCTCACCTGCTTTTTTTCTTTTTTCTTTTTTTTTTAAAAAAAATTAAAATCTACTCTCAGTGATTTTTTTTTTTTTTTTTTTTTTTGAGATAGGGTCTCTAAATATTCCTGGCTGTCCTGGAACTTACTAAAGCTAGCCTCCAACTAACAGAGATCTGCCTGCTTCTGCCTCCTGAGTACTGGGGTTAGAGGTGTGCATGGCTATGCCTTTTCCCCCAAGACAGGGTTTCTCTGTGTAGTCCTGATGTCCTGGAACTCGCTCTGTAAACCAGGCTGGCCTCAAACTCAGAGATTCCCCTGCCTCTGCCTTGCAAGTACTAGGATTAAAGGCATGCGCCCCCACAGCGCAGGCATGCGCCCCCACAGCGCAGCTACTCTCAACAGTTTTTACGCAAACAATACATCGCATACTCAACTATATGCTTACATTGACAGCTGTTACCATGCTGTACAGTGATCTCTTGAGCGTCATCGTCCTAACTAAAATTCTATGTCCCTTTCCAAGACTTGGGCAAGCAACCTTGTCTCACCTTGATGTAGGTCTGCTTAGCTTGTCTTAGGGAATAAGCTACTGATTTTATATCAGTGAATTAATAACTGATGCTTTTTTCTAAACTCAGGCCATTGGAGGAGAAGTCATAGGAATAAAACCAGGCTGGTGGAAACAAGCTTTTTAGTGTAAAGGACTCTTACTGAAGTAGAAGTAAAATTGTGTCAAGCTGCGTCTCGTTCCACAAATACCGTACCAGGAAGCCCGTGTCCTCACTAAGCAGAGTAGCTTCCGGGTGACTGGGAATATAGGCGTGTTGCTTTTCTTCATAGAAGAATGTACGGTGACTAACACGGTAGTTTTGGACTGGTCACGATGGCAGTGCTGGGTTTTCATCATGTTGAAATAGGGATGATCCTGAACCTGGGAGAACGCTCCGTCAGAGAACGCTCCGTCAGAGCTGCGCCAGATCAGTAAACGGCCGTTCAAATAGTGCTGCTGGTAAAACAAGTAAAGCAAAGACTGATTTTTTTTATATCATTGCAGTTGCGATTGCTGCTGGCCGGAAACTGGCCCATAGGCTTTTTGAGTGCAAGAAAGATTCCAAATTGGACTATGACAACATCCCTACCGTGGTCTTCAGCCACCCCCCTATCGGGACAGTGGGGCTCACCGAAGGTAGGTATTTTGAAATGATGGTCATTTGTGGTTCCTCGTCTAAACTTTCGTTGGCCAAAATAACCGTGTCCAAGTTACACCAACCCTTTTTGTTTAGTCTGAAGCCATAGTTCTCAAACAATGAGTACTTGGAGTATCCCTGCTGCCTGCGTGTCTCTGTGTCCGTTCTCTCTCTCCCCCCTCCTCGGTTTTTACATTTATATAAGTTAAAAATAGCCAAAAGAATATGAAGGACTCCTCTGTCCTTGCTAATTTTGCCTTATCATTTTTGCCTCCTATATTGCAGTGGTTCTTAGACCCATTTGAGGGGCGAATGACCCTTTCACAGAGGTCACCTAAGACCAATGGAAATATCAGATATTTACATTATTATTCAAAGCAGTAACAAAATTACAGTCGTGAAGTGGCAATGAAAATAATTTGGTGATCCGGGCGGTGATGGCGCATGCCTTTAATCCCAGCACTCGGGAGGCAGAGGCAGGAGGGTCTCTGAGTTCGAGGCCAGCCTGGTCTACAAGAGCTACTTCCAGTACAGGCTTAAAAAAAAAAAATCTACAGAGAAACCCTGTCTTGAAAAACCAAAGGGAAAAGAAAAGAAAAGAATTTTATGGTGGGGTCACCACAACATGAGGAACTGTATTAAAGGATCGCCACGTGGCAGTGTTAGGAAGGTTGAGAGGCACTGCTGTATACACATCCTACATCTGTGTTTGTCTGTTGGTTTTTTGAGACAGAGTTTCCTTTGTAGCTTTGGGGCCTGTCCTGGAATTTGCTCTGTAGACCAGGCTGGCCTCGAACTCACAGAGATCTACCTGCCTCTGTCTCCAGAGTGCTGGGATTAAAGGTATGTGCTACCACTGCCCAGCCTACATCTTATTTTTTAAGAACAAGGGTCTTCACTTACATAAACATAGTTTTGAGATGGGAAAACTTCAATTACTAAAGTATTATTTAAACTTCCGACGTCATGCATATTTAGCCATCTACCTCAAATATCATTTAGAACACGGTCCCCCACCCGCAGTCCAGAGTTCAGTCCAGCACGGTTCATTGTGAGCAGTTTGGTCTCTTTTCATCAGAGACACATTTTTTAGCCATTCTGTGTGTGATGTGACTTGGACACTTAGTTTGTAGACTGCCCCTTATTTTGATACAGTTGGCTACTTCCTTCTTGTTTGTTGATTCAGGTGTATTTCTGGACAGAACCCTCTCATGTCTCTGTGGAAGAGTTTAGTTTTTGATTGGTGTTTTTTGAATGTGCTTTGTAGATGAAGCCATTCATAAGTACGGGAAAGAGAATGTGAAAATCTACTCCACCTCCTTCACCCCGATGTACCATGCTGTCACCACGAGGAAGACAAAATGTGTGATGAAAATGGTTTGTGCCAACAAAGAGGAAAAGGTACTGGGGAAAATGTTCTCTCTTCTATGGGTTTTGGGGCTCTTTATATTAGAAACAAGATTCCCATCCTTTTTAAAAAGGAGGTTTGACTTCAGCGTTGCAAAATAGGATGGCTGTCTTAAAGATAAAAAATCAGGAGGAAAATAAAAACTTGTCACTGGCCACTAATCCAGAACAGACAGGAAGCTCAGAGATATTGGTGAAAGATGACCCAATGGAGAGGAGCCCTGGCTGCTCTTGCAGAGAACTGGATTTGGTTCGAGCGCTCACTTCTGTCAGGAGGCTTCGGCCTCCTGTAACTATAGCTCTGCGGGGATCCGGAACCCTTTTCTGGCCTCAGAGTGCACCGCACACATGTGTACAGAATTACAGACACACAAACATAAATGAAAACAAAATAAATCGTTAAAAAAAGTGGTAAATGTGTTTTAATATAAGACAGTTTAAAACAGTAAAGCAGAAGTTTAATCAGCCATTTCTTTGAAGGTTACTATCTCTTGGTTTAGCTTTCTGAGGCTCTGCCAAACAGGTTCTGGTGTTGTGCAGGATTTTCTGTGTGTACCCCCCCCCAATAAATGTCCCCATTTCTCCCACATCCTCACCACTGTCTTCAGTGAGTGATGTGTGGTTTCTCAATATGGCTTTGATCTGCATTTAAATGGGTCTTGTTCTAAAATTTAGAAAATAGGTTTAGTTTTGGGTCCTCCACTTCTCCAGCTGTTCTAATTGAATTAAATCCTGAAGAGCTTGGTAGAGGACATGGCTCACACGCAGTGTTTCTTTCTCTTGGGATTTGAGCCTGGCTCTTACCACACAGCCTGGTTCGTACTCCCTGACCTTTCTGCGGCAGCCTCCCAAGTTATAAAATCCAAAGCCATGTGCTGCCAGGTCCTAGCTGTGATGTCATGTGACAAGATGCTGCGTTATGTTAGGAGCTGGCCCAGCAAGTGGAGGTGCTTGCTCAAAGGCCTGATGACCTCAGGTTGACCCCCTGACTCCACAGGATGGCCAAAGAGAACTGACTCTTGGGAGTTTCTCTGCCCTCCATCAACATCCAGTAGCACAAGTGACCCGGCCACTCTCTCACAACTGGGCCTGCTCACGCTCTACCTCTGCCCCTCCCCGCACACAGCGAACTAAACATAAATAAACATGTTACCTATAGCGATAGTTTTCTGCTTCTGTTCCTAACAGTTATAAGCTGTGTGTGTGTGTGTGTGTGTGTGTGTGATTTGCTGGGTGTCAGCAGCAAAAGCCACAAGATAGAGAGACAGTCTGGTTTTTCAGTGCAGCACCTCACACCAGCAAAGGAGAGGGGTTTGTGGTAGCAAAATGCAGCTCACTGCCCAGAACAATCCTTGGTGGCCTGCGATTGCCACATCAGTTGAGTCAGGAGTGTCCCTGCTCTTTTCATGTTTGAACAGGGTCTCACTCCGGCGGTGCCTGGGCTCCCACGTTCCTTTATAACTGAAATTCAGGCGTTCTTGCTGCTCTTGCAGCAGAAACAGGGATTGACTTGTAATTGTGTAGTTCTTCCCCAAAATAGATAATCTTGTAACTGTCGTAGAACATGACAGAACTGCTGGTGTTTAGAGAGCAGGGGATAGAATTAACTGGGTTAGGAAGGGACAGGTCTGTAGCTGTCTGGTTAGTGACTGGGAAGGGACAGGTCTGTAGCTATCTGTTCAGTGAATGGGAAGGGACAAGTCTGTAGCTGTCTGGTTAGTGACTG